CTAAAGGTTCTTTGTTCTTTTAGCTATTTCTTTGACTTTCTTGAAGGCACTCCAAGCCTCTCTCTTCCTCCTGCACAGCTCAGGTGCCATGTCATTCATCATGTTGAGTTCTTGACCTAGGTACACATAACTGCTTCATTCGAAGATGTTCATTCCATTGATAGCAAATGGAACATCAGGAAACTAGTCCATTCTTCATAAACATTGTCTTCGTGAGATTCAGCTGCAGTCTGATCTTTCCAAACTCATGGTCAAAGTTGGCCAGCATTTGTGCTGCTTGGCTACTGTTTGGTGTTATTAGAATGATGTCATCAGCGAAGCAGAGGTGGTATAGTTGCCGACCGTCTAACTTCACTTCCATTCCTTCCCATTCCAGTCATCGCAAGATGTTCTCGAGGGTGGCAGTGAAGAGTTTCAGTGAAATGATATTGCCCTGACGAACCACTCTCTTGAAGTTGATGATCACTTCCTTGTAGAATGGTGAGATCCTGGTGGTGAATCTGTAATACAGCTCATGGAGGATCCTAATGTACTGAGTTTGAAGGCCCTGTTTGGCTAGGGCTTTGATGGCTGCTTCAGTCTCAACAGAATCAAAAGCCGTCTTTAAATTGATGACTGTTAAACACAGTGGCATCTTGAATTCCCTAGAAACCTCAATGAGCTTGGTTACCATGTGGATGTGGTCAATTGTGCTGAATCCTTTTTGGAACCCAGCTTGCTTGCATGGTTGTCCTTTATCTAGAGTTCTGCCAATCCTATTCAGGATGACTTGAGTGAACAGTTTGAAGACGACGGACAACAGGCAGATCAGGCAATAGTTGCCAATGTCGTGGATGTCTCCCTTCTTGTACAGTAGAACTGTCCTGCTGGTTTTCCATTGGGACGGAACCTTGCATTCAGACAGTTAGCATGTGAAGAGCCGAGCCAGTGTATTGATGAGTACTGAGGCAGATTCTTCAGGTGTTCGGGTCTGACCTTGTCTGGGCCGGGTGCTGTTCCCTTCTTTACCAATGCAATGGCATGTCAGATTTTGGAAGGTAGAATGTTGGGAATGACATATCCATCCTGCGGAATTTGGTATGTGGGCAATTGGACGTGGCTATCGAAGAGATCGAGTAAAAGTCATGGATAATCTTCTCCATTGCCCTTCTGCAAGATGTGATAGAACCATCAGGATGGCAGAGGGCAGTCATCTTGGTCTTGTAGTTAGCGAGGGACAGGCAGGCTTTGCGAATATTTTTCCTGGCTTCTGCTGCATCTGCCAGCACTGCTGCTCTTCTTTCTTTGAGGTCTTCCTTTATTGCTTTTTTGCACTGCTTTTAGAGCTCGGACATTAGCTTACAGTTACCTGAGGCTCGTGGCAAGCCATGTTGGTGAATGAGCTTGAGAGTCTCCAATGACAGGCATCTTTTTGTGTCTTTCTCTCTCTTGGTGTTCCTTCCACAATCATGGAGGTGCTGAACCAGTTGATTATATTCCTCGTTGATCTAATCAATGATGGCATATTTCCATGTTGCCACAATAGTACTAAAGAGCTCCCAGTTGGTGGTCGTTCTGGGAGTTCTCTTCTTAAACTTTGCAGCCTTTTCTCCCCACTCCGAGAAGTAGAATTTTGCACAAAGGAGACAGTGGTTCGATTCTGTTTGGAATTTTGGGGCAGCAGTGACATCGCTCAGGCAAAATCGTTGATTGAATATGATGCCGTCAATTTTATTGTGGAACTGTCCACTGGGAAACTCCCATGTCCAACATTTAGATTTGGCCTTCTGGAACTGTGAGTTACCATAGATGGTCTTGGTTGACATGATGAACTCAGACAGTTTGTCATCCTGTTCGTTCCATTCTAGGCCATGGGTCCTGATGTGGAGTTCTTTGGCCAATCTTCTTGGTCTTATCTTGGCATTAAAGTCACCGACAATGATCTTGTAAAAGTTGTGGTCTTCTTTTTAGAACTTCTCCAGCTTCATGTAGTATTTCTCAATTTCTTCTTCATCGTAATTGGATGTTTGTTTGTAGACCATGAAGATAGAAACTGCTGACAGTGAGTCACATCTATTCAAGCATAAGCGTCCGATTCAGGATTTTTAGGGATTTGAATGAATCAATGCTCATGGCCAAGTTCATGTTGATGAGGACACCAACACCACCGCCTCTTTTGTCACATGTTCCAAGGAGCAGTTCTTCTCCAGTTTCAAAAGTGGCATGATGTGGTTGATGCCTTCTTATCTCAGTCAGACCAATGATGTCATACTTGATCTTCTGTGCTTGCACCATCGGGTCCTCAATGGATGCTTCTGATGCCAGAATACATGCGTTGAAAGTACAGATAAATACCTCATCAGCCGACCTCCACTACCTCTACTACCTCCACTACCCAGCCGCTACCATGCTCCAGGCTGCTTTCTGCACATCATAAGACACTTAATACCCATCTTCCAAGATTACCAAGCCATGTTTGATGGGGTTCAAAAATGGTGTGAACCATGGGAACACCTACAAGGGTGATTAGAGGCCACCCTAAAAGCCTCCTTCCCTCTCGAAGAGCCTGACAAGCTACCGAGAATATCCCACTCACACAGCAGAGCATGGCAAGCTACCCTTGGCATATTCAATATGCCAAAAACAGTAAAAACAATGGGTTTCACTCCCCTGACCCTGAAAAAACCCCCAATACGGCAGAGTTAAGAAGGATGAACAAGGTGAGGCTGTCAAAACGAGTATCCTTTTGTCTGTTGCTTTCGGATTATACCTGATAGGCTACTCACACATTGGTTCTCATAAGTAGCTCTCAGAGGTGCTGGGAACTGAACCTGGGACTCCTGTATGCAGTGTGTGTGCTCCAGCCTTGAGACATCTCCCTGACCAGATTTGTCCTTTCTTTTCTTTTTGGCCACACCCAGTTGGTGCTAAGAGGTTACTCCTGACTTTGAACTTAGGGCTTAACTCCTGGTGGTACTTGGAGACCACATGAGATACTGGAGTTCCCACCCAGGTCAGCCACGTTCAAAGCAAATACCCTACCAACCGTACAATTGCTCTAGTCCTTTTAAAGGTCTTTGCTCTTAGCATTTAAAAACCAAGGATTCAGAATGCTAATTGTAACAGCAGGAGAAATTTCCTCCAACAGAGGTCATTTTCCATGAAAAGAAGCAAGAGATTTTTTAATATTTATTTTAAAATTTTATAATAACCACACTTAAGAAGATGTGTTTTGGAGTTGGAGAAATAGCTCAAAGAGCTGGAGCACATGCTTTGCCAGTAGGAAGTCCATGTTTGATCTCTGGCACCACACAGTCCCCTGAGTACCACCAGAAACTACCCCCCAAGAACCATCATGTGTGGTCCAAAGACTGAAAAAATAGAAAAAGTCTCTGTGTTTACTTCATTGTCTCCAGCAGCCAAAGAGAGAATAAATGTTGTGGGGGAATGCTCACAGACCTGAGGGGCAGACAGCCTGAGCCCTTTTCAAGTAGACGTTTGCTTTAGTGTGTGAATAACTGAATTTGGCCCTTACCGAAAACCCTCAACTGTGGAAGATGGTCTGGAGGTGATGGTGGAGGGGTTGTGGAGGGGCATAGTAAAGGTAGCAGGGGAGAGGTGGTGGTGAAAGCAGTTAGCAACTTGCCCCAAGTCTAGAAATTTGCCATCAGCTGGCACAGAGGACAGTCTCTTGTGCTCCAGGAGCAGAGTGATGGGAGCCTTTTCACCTCTGCTTCTCAGTTTTAAAGCAGAACTCTGAAGCAGTACAATTGTCTTTCTTCTGGGGGGGGGGGGTGGTGCTTCAAACCACTAAAGAATAGGGGAGTGAAAGTAGCTAGAGGCCTGCTTATGAAGCAGGGACTTTTGGGTGTGGTCACTAGTGTGGAGCTAGCCGGAAGGAGCCTTTTCACCAGAAAGCGTTGAGAAAGACAGGGGTCTGAACCAGCTGGAAGCTGTCACGGGGCGGCCTCCCAACTGTTGTTTCTGGTTCCTTTGAAAGAAAAAAGTTCAGCATTTGGAAACACACTTATTTTAAATGTTATCAAACTTTCTTAAAGTTATTAGATATTCTTGGTGAAGTGCAGCCAAACCAAGTAGATTGATTAAAAATGCCAGTGTAAAGCAGGTACTGAGATACGTAGTAGGGTCTGGAGCAATAGTACAGTGGGTAGGGCGTTTACCTTGCATGTGATTGACTTGGGTTCAATCCGCAGTATCCCATGTGGCCCCCTAAGCACCTTCAGGACTTAATTTCTGAATGCAGAGCCAGGAGTAAATCCCTGAGCACTTCTGGGTGTGCCCCCCACCCCACAAAAAAAAAGGAAGACGCATGTTAAAAAATAAGCTAAGTTCATGAAAGTCAATTCTGCTTTTTGACACTTTGACTCTGGAGCCGAAGCACCGGTGGCTCACACTTGGCTGTGGCTAAATCAGCACAAATTGTAGTGTCAGCACCAATGGCAAAGACGTTAAGTAGATACAAAGCCCGAAGCTTCAGCTCTGTTCAGGTCTGACCCATCCCCTCTTAGAACTGGCTGGATTGCCCGCATTGCCTTTCTGGAAGCTTTGTGTAGGCTTGTCTTTGCAGTCAATCAGTGATAACCAGTACGTGACCTCTGGGGCAAGGGGCTGGAAATGATCATCTGCCTATCACCTTTCACTCGGAGAAAGAGCATCTGCAACCATAGCTTGCTATCAGTTTCTGTGACTTGAGAAGACAGGAAAGAGAATGCTTATTTCTCAATGTCCAGAGGGAAATTACAAATTTTCAGTGGTACAATAAATGCTTAAGAACTTACTGCAATAAGTCCTTTCTTAAACAGGTACTCATACCCACAAGTGGGGATGAATTTCTGCTCAAGGATCAGAGCAAAAGCACAGATTTCCGTCTCTGAGAAGAAACACACAAAGGAACTCTACTCCCTCTTTACATCTTCATGACAGGAAGCACAGAAGTTCAGAAAACGCTTCTGTGCACCCGGCCACACAATAGCCGATTGTGCAGGGGTGGGCAGACTCACCTCATTGTCCTGGTGATTAATCTCGCTGAGATTCGACTGCTGCAGCAGGACTGTTAGGAGCCTGTAAGGAAACACAGGAGAAGGGACTCTAACGAACAGAGTCTGCAAGTGAACGCATTAGAAATGTGGTCATATCAATGGAGATGAACTCTTTCCACTTCACTGAGGGAAGATCCATGGAAAAGAAGTTAGTGTGAGAAGGACAAGGCACTGGGGTCAATATTCCCTCTTTCCACCACCCTCCTCCTCTCTCGGTGCTGCTGGAGGGAAACACTGCAAGGAACAGAGAAAGTGGATCTTTGGTTTTAGCTTATTCACCAGACCCGTGTCCCTGTCTGCACAAACAGAACAATGTGTTCTTATGTATTTTATCCTGGTGTTGCCCAGGGGCTATTCCTGCCCCAGTGCTCAGGGCTCACTCCTTGAAGTGCTCAGGTGTCCTATGGATGCCAGGGAGTGAACCGGGATAGGCCCACCTGTACCATCTCTTGGGCTCATTGGGTGTATTTGAGAGTGAAGCTCCTAGAGTGCTTTCAACCTGCTTCACCATTAGGTTTTGCAAAAAAAAAAAAAATGTGCCCGTGATACCAGGAGGCAGGAGGTACCTACACCTTTGTTTATTCTGTCAATGTGCAACAGCTCTTAGCGATTCTCTGGTGCAAGTTCTTATCCTACTTGGGTTCCATATGCGGTGGATTGAGTCAACACTATCTGTTCCTGATAGGGACAAAGCCGAGACTCTTGGGGCACAGAGCCTAGGGTCACATCCATCCCAGCTCCTTACTCTACTGGGGTCTAATCTGGGGGCATCAGAAAAAAGTTTCTACCGTATAGCTCAGGGTGAGAATGAAGTAATTAATACGTTTTAAACATTTGAAGTTTACCTGAAACAGTAAATACAGTGTCCGTCCCACCCGACAGCCTGCCCCTTACTTACCCAGGAACCCAGATGTCAGTCCCTGGGATTTAGGCTCCAGGCTCCACCAGACCTGAGGGCTTTCAAGCCACTGAGCCCAGTTTCAAGCTCTTTCTTGCTGGGGACCCCAAACAGCAGAGTTGTCAGGATCCCCACATAGTGTGGGAGGGGTTTGAGCTCACAACCTCATGTTGTTTGGGCAGGTGCTTAGAGCGTTTTCAGAAGTATTTTTTCTAGAATATTGAACATGACATGTTCTTGCCCTGGCTCTATCCCAGAATCTCCTGGAAAGTTTATTTATTTATTTATTGGTTTGGGGTCTACACCTGGCAGTGCTTGGAGCTTACTCCTGGCTCTGCACTTGCACTCAGGAATTATTCCTGGCAATGCTTGGCAGGGAGACATGGAAGATGCAGGGAATCCAACTCAGGTGGGTCGCATTCAAGGCAAGTGACCGTCCTCCTGCTATACTATCTCTTTGGTCCCAACGGAGGTATATTTTTAAAGTACAACAAATACCTGGGATTTGTATTTGAGATTTCTGACTTGGTAGGTGTGGTACAACTTTGTCCGTCTGTCTGTCTGTCCTCCCGTTGTTCATTGATTTGCTCAAGCGGGCCCAGTAACGTCTCCATTGTGAGACTTCTTGTTACTGTGTTTGGCATATTGAATACTCTCGGTAGCTTGCCAGGCTCTCCGAGAGGGGCGGAGGAATCGAACCCGGCTCGGCTGGGCTGCTGTGTGCAAGGCAAACGCCCTACCACTGTGCTATCACTTTCACAGCTGTTTAGGAAATTCTTGCAAACAGGTTGGAAACCACCAAGAAAGGTGCAGACGGATTCGTGGCCCCAATGCTCTTCACCCTTTAATATAAGGGTGTTCTAATCCCACTGACCCTGGCACCTTGGAAAGTGCATTTATTTGTCAACAGAGCCTTTACAATGTTAATACGGTAGGACAGGAGCCTTTCAGAGGAGGGTGTCTGACACAATGTGGCTAGTGTTTTCCAAAAAACTATACTCAGAGAGTAGAGCCCAGGGATACAGGCTCACAGGGCTAAGACTGCAGAAAGGGTGCCAGACAAGAAGAGGGCAATGAGCTGCCTCCAGGTAAAGGAAAGAGCCCTCCTCTCAGGCATCCTGGTTGGTCACATGCAGTCTCAGAGGGGAAGGGTTAATTTCTGGGTCTAAGCCACAAAGAGAGTGGTCTTTTTGTGAGGACAAAGGCACACATTCCTCAAGATGATCAAGGATAGCTGATGGGGAGATAATGAAGTCAGGCAGAAATTATCACTATTTTTGTGTATTTTCAAGGTCCACCATGGGGTTTCAGTGTTCGGGAGAACATGCAATGCTAAGGATCAAACCCAAGACCACACCCAGCACGGCAAGTGCTCTATCATGGAACTGTATTCCCAGCCCTCAGAAATTATTTTTATAACTTTTTTTGAAAGATGAAATGTATTAATTTTCTCCCAAAACTCAGATTTAAAGTATTTCCTCTTCCAGTGGAAATCAGATTGTCATTGTTTTTTAGCTCAGCTGACATCTATTTATCTATTGATGTTATTATTCAATTTTGGACTTTGTAGACACACTCAGCCATAAGTGACCCAAGAGCCATTCCTGGCCCCTTGCTCAGTAGTGACTCCTGGAAGTACTTGGGGGAACCATATGTGGAGCCTGATTGCAACTAGGGCCAGCCGCATTGCAAGGCAAGTACCTTGCCCCTGTACTATCTCTCTGGCCCTTGGCTGATATCTAAAATCCTAAGTACTAAGTGGAATGAAAGAAGAAAAGAGAAAACGACTGATTGTAATGCCTTAGTAACTAATGTACAGGAGAGATTTAAAAGGAATGAGCTCTGGTTATTTGCTAAAGAGGTGAAATAATCAGGAAGCCTAAGGTTTCAATCTAGTCTTAGGACATCCTTTGGAAGTTAGATTATGGCATAATTCTGGCCTCTCCATTGCATGTCCTATGTGAGCCTCGGTCTCCCTGCTTCTCTAATGGGGGAAGTCACAGTCCTGGCTGAGGACTGAATAGCACAACAGCCAGAAAACAGCTCTGAAGGAGCCACTGTCCTGACTGCGAGCAGCTCATCTCTTTCATCCTTGCTGAATTTCTAGAATTCCTCCCTCTGATGGGAAGATGCTATGAAAATAATTCCATTTGAGTAACACTGTTTTTATCTTTGTAATTACGTTGCACAATATTTTCCTTTATGCTACTTTATGGGGTGGGGGGGGGGGAAGGAGGCAGTGATAGCGAGTCCCTGAGGCACCACATTCCTTGCCACGGCCCTCACACCTTGCCCTGCTTGTCCAGCCTAGACGAGAAACCCGGTGCATCTGCGTTCCCTCCGCGCCTCTCCTCTCTTCCGTGGCTGACTGATAGGTAATGCTCTAGCTACTTCCCCACATCTGTCTGAATGACCAGAAAACCTGCACATGTCTTTGTTTTGCTTTCTCAGAGTTCTCATTTTTTGTAAAGGCAGCCCTGAGTATTTTTCCACCCGCCCTAGCTCTGTACAGGTCCTGACTTCAGAGTTTAACAGCAGCAAAGGCCCACTTCCCCCAGGGACCAAGACTCCAGCCAGGCACAGACACCCAAAGGGGCATGCCCCATACCCCCATGTGCTGAGCTTGATGGCAAGCCTCTGGGAAAAATTCTTGGTTCATTTCCACCAGGTCGCAACCCTGAGTCAGCTATAAAATCCTCATTGTCTTTGTTTTCTTATTTGTAAAACAAAAATGATAGATAGGAACCAGAGACACGGTACAGGAGAGTGGTTCAAATCCCCAGCATCACATTGAGCATCGCCAAGGGTTACTCCTGAGCACAGAGCCAGGAATAGCCCCAAGCACTGTTGGGTGTGGTCCCAAAGATAGAACAAACAAAAATGGAAGTGATAGAAATAAAGGCACGTCTTTGTTAAACTTTTTGGTGATTTTAAATGCATCACTCCATGTACAGCACTGAGAACAGAATGAAAATGCCACAGTGTAAGGTATAGTCTATGCAATGGGTTTCTTTACAAGCTCCGACTTCCCTTTATTTCAGGGGCTCCCTGATCTCCACTAGGTGATTCGCTGGGAGAGGTCAGGTGTACTCTGGGAGGTTTGTTCCCTAGAGCGGCTGTTTTTCTGCCCCCCACACCCCTACCCCGCCTGCTTACAGCCCTGGTTTGATCAGACTGCTGGTGGGCAGCAAAGAACCCCTGATCCAGTCATCTGCTTGGCTCACCACGCTGTGAAAACACAAGGGTTTGCTGCAGTGAAGCGTCCACCTCTGGGTGAGAGCCCATCACTCACATCACTTGGTAACTAGTGAACAGGACCCAGAGAAAGGATTTCTTTCCTCTCTCAGTAGTCAAGAGCTGTGAAAAGAGACAGAGCTGCTAGTGCTTTTGGCAAGGAAAAAAAAAGTGTTGGTAACCGCAGAGTTGGGGGGGGGGGGGAGGTGGAGACCTCAGAGAGCCTGGGGCTGCTTTCAGAAGAAATGGAAGCCTTACCAGGCTGGCCTCCAGCACTTTGTACAAACATAACTTCATTCTTTTTGGAATTCTGTCTTCATGATCATGCTGCCTCTTTCACACTAGTCCCCTCTGAATGTTCCAGTCAAGACAGCAAGAAAAGCCATGGGGAGCTAAAAGAGAGAAATGAGGACCTGCTGGGAAGCAGAGGGGAGGGGACCCTGTGCCCCTTTGCTTTTGTCTAACCAACTTGCCTTCTCCTTCATCATTATAAATCGCTCCTCTACAACAGTATAGGGTCCCCTGACTTGTAATCTAGCTGGGGCTGTGCATTGGATGGACTGCTTTGCTACTACACTGTTTTCACCAGAGAACCGCAATCCCTCTGGAGGCAAAGAGACTTTTGAAGACTCCCCTTGGGTTGTGCCTAGCAGCCTCAGTGCTACTTATCACCACCATCACTGCTGAAATTACTAGTGCAGACCTACATTCTTTGGTGGTCAGTCAAGCTGATCTGAAAGTTGTGTCCATTTAGAAAAATTAAGCAATCAAAGAGGTTGCAAGATTTTGGAAGACATCCATTAGTCAGACCTAGATCTTTTTTCTTTTCCTCAGAAAGAAGTTCTGAGCATATACTGACACATAACACATGCGGAATAGAAGTTCAGTTT